TGAGCCTGAAGCTCTTAGGTGAATTCTCTATTTCTCTTCATAGAAATTAGGAAAGTCTGTCCACAGGACAATCTGTTTTATTCTTGAAACTTAATGAACGACAACAACAACAACAACAACAAAACTCTAAATCTCTAGCTGATAGGCTCTGTCTTCACAGTACTTAACATGCCTTCTCTTCATTGGGATATTTACCGAGCATTAATTAGTATGTGCTGGTACTTGAAAAGATTTTCATCAGTAGCCTGGGCGGGTGTGCCCTGGGATCATGTGTTACCATGGATTCACTCAGGTAATGGAGTCTTCTAGGATCCTCCCTGGAGCCAAGGAAGGTCTAGAGTTTCCCTGGAAAGCTTTAGCAAAGCTCATGAGCCAGGTCTGCTTCCCTGCTCCAGGTGCAGGATCTGAACTAGCACAGCAGAGGGCTCACAGGATGAAGGGCTGTCTGCCCTAGCGCCTAGTCGCCTGACTCCCTGTGACACTGCGACTTTTTCTCTCCTTCCCTTTGGGCCTAGAAGTGCTTAATTAAAGATTCTCATTTCTCTCTCTTCCTCTTCCCTCCCTTACCAAATAAAACTCTTGACAAGAGTTTTAATTTCTAATTCCCACAGATGAAAGCTGCATTTTGAATTCTAAGATTGACAAGACAGGACCTCTGAGGGATACAGAGGCCACAGGCCAGATATAAACAAACCTACAGTCTCTCTCTGTTTTGCCTTTTCCTCCCTTATGAAAAAAACATCCAGAAAAGACCACCTTTCCATGTAACTTCTAGGAGGGCTTCCTTACCTTCAGAATTTGGTCTCCTTCTTGCAGACCCTCCTGTTCTGCTGAGGTACCCTCCTGAATGTCAGCAACAAATAGCCCGACATCATTTCCACCAGCCAACCGGAGGCCCACGCTGTCTCCCTTCTTAAATTTCACCATTTTTGTGTTAGGGCTGTGGTTGGTTTGGTTTCAAAAAGCAAAGATGAAAGATATTTTTTAAAAGGAAAGACTCACATTAAGAGATGAGATATTTAACTTTTTCTAGCTCAAGAGTGAATTGATAGTTTATAAAAGTTCCCTCTCATTTTCCTCATCTATTCTATAATTTTATCTCATTGGGACAGTGAAAGGAATGTCCGCC